TTACAGCCCGATTCTTCAAGAAAATTCCATTGACAGGTTAGTATAACTAGTAGCTAGAGATAGAACGACGCTATAGGATAGATAATTTAGTAGGTAGAAAAAGACACCCAGTAATTTTACTAGGGCGAATCATTGTAACGGTTTGTAGTCTAAGTTTCTGACCTTTCAATTGCTAATTTTCAGAATAACAACTCGGTACTGATGAACGTTTTTATCAAATACAAGCCTTATTCAATTCTGCATATTGCTGCCGTCGTGATACAGGTGTGTTTATTCTAGTCTTATGAAAATAAATAAATAAAGAATAAATAAAAAATAGTTTAGTGGATTACAATAATTCGTTGAAGGCAGTATTCGGAAACGTCTTAATTTGAGGCATGAGGAAATTTCTGTTGTAACATAGCACCCCTTTCTTATCACACGTTACATCCGATGAATTAAGAGCTCAGTATAACTCTTTCAACAAAAACTTAAAATCTCCAAGCGTTTGGATTGCTGCTGCTTCGTGAGTTGTGGCACTCATCTGTCATGTTTTTTTCACCGATCCAAGCTGCTCCAGATGGTCAGGGACGGCTGTCACGAAAGCGTTCTCATGCTTGGCGATCGCTCCTGGAGGTTAATGTCGATGTTCTCCTCTCCTCTCAGCAAAGTATCGTGATCAGAGACCAGCTCGCTCTTTGGCATGCAGTGACTCGTCTCCATTTCTGAGCCACTATGACCAGTGACGAACCTTCGCGCCGATGCAGTGCCTTTTCAACAGCGACGTTGATGTTTGTGGTTGTTTCCGTTGTAGTTCGACCAAGCTCAAACTCGTGAAGTAGAACCGTTGTCAAGCTCACCTTATCCAACAAGTAGCACGAAGAATCCTAAAAGATACCGATCGACGGTAATCTTAAACTAATAGCTATCCATTTCGGCATTGATCTTCCGATTGCTTGATCAAAACAATTTGCTGGACCCTGGAAGTAAACATAATTTATACCTACATGAGCTCTTATGAACTCTACTATCTTTCTCGAAATTCCAAATGGATACCAATTTTAACCTGCCTAAACTGTTTCCAATAAGGTGATGTTGCGAACTGCTTCAAAATTCTGATGACATCGTAGAATTCTCACAATACGGAGGTACTCTTCTTCAGAATCACCCCTTCGTAATGAGAGTGATTGACTTAGGCTGAGGGACAATTACTTTTCATTACTCTCTGGAATAGAAACCTCCTTTCCTTAGGTTTTTCTATTCTCTATGTAGAGGTTATACTAGAAATACGGTAACAGATGTTCTGAATTTAAACTCGTCCAATGGTGCTGTGATTTTTTGCCTACTTTATGTTTTTCGCAATGACTTCTTTATTTATTCAAGTGCACACCAAGGTGTGCTATATAAAAGTTAAGCAGAAAAAACTAAAGCAATGGTCCTACATATTTCAGCAACTACGAAGATCAAAAAGAAGGACAAGAAGAAGCCTCAAGCTCAGCTGGAAAAGAAAACTTACTCCCTAGAGGAAAGAAGAAAAAGGAAAAAAGGAGAATACCTAGCAAGAAGATCACATGATGGGTCGATTGGTGGATACCTAGTGAGTCCTCCTCTGCGTGTTTACGTATTTATTTACAGCCCCAAAATTTTTTGGATTGATTCACGAATCGCGAGTATGGTGAAAGAGNGAATTACTATTTTTTCTGCATATCTCAATAATTGAAAGAAAGCGTCGCCAGTGAATTTTCATTTATATTTCATAAACATATGCCTTATTCGTACCACTATTCATAATCACAATATATTCAGAGAATACATCTCACATGACTATCCAGTAAAGTTGCGTTTCCACTTTTTCAAACAGAACTTCCTCATAGCACTTTTCTTTTTTACCTTTAAATAACTTTTTTTCATTTTTTTCACTGATTTTCCCTCCGTGAATGGCTAACGCAGTATGTGATGAGAGAGAAATTTTACTTGTCTGAGTGAAATGCGAAAAATATTTTGTGTGACTTCACTTTTTTTCAAACACCACCACCCCTGAAGGAACTTTACGCTAACTGATTTTTTGATACCTCCATGCGATAGGTTGTATAACACCAAATATGACAATCATGGCATCAATCTTTGTCGCATAACTTATGCGTCAGTGACCGCTGACATCGACGTACCATGGACTCGGTGAGCTTGTCGATGTCCTCTTGGGGGATGTTCCTCCCAACGCCCTTTAGTTGAAGGATTTTTTCGTGTTCAGTGCGAACCCTGAGGAGTTCGGTTGTATCGAGTTTATCTCACAAATGACGGGATCCAAAGAGGGGTTGTGGCGGCAACGGCAGCGTAGGAATGTCGTTGACGCGAAACCACCTGGTGAACAGCGTTGACTTGTGCTTCGGGTCATTGTACTGTTGAAAACGAAGCTACCGGGGCGGTACTGCGAATAAGCGCTCAAATAGCAGTCTCCATAAACTATAGTACATGCCTTTTAGGGGACCATTTTCTTTGCTACAGAGGCCGCGTTGAACCATCACCGAACACCCACCACCCTTCACGGTCTGCAGCTGGCAACTCTGATGCGGCGAGGGACCAACTGTACGTCGCATAAACTTGCTTTCATCCGTGCCGAATTGTAAGAAGATTTTTTGTTGCCTCAGATGACCTTACGCCGCTGCTGATCGGTCCGGTCCGTGTGAGTAAGAGCCGAATCAAGATGTGCTCTGCGATTTTTGGCAAGAATCAGCGACTTCTTAACTGGTTGAGATCAAACAGACCGGACTCTGCCAGAAGATTTCGTAGGTGTTTGTGGCCGAGTTTGCTCCCTAGGATGTCGAGATTTCGCAAAGAGTCTCGGTTGCAATGAGTTCCAAGCCGCACATTGTTTCTCCTACCAGACAAGAGGTCAATCTTGCTACTTCTGAGAGCCTTTCGACTCCAGCCGAAAGTGTGTTCTCACATTTCTTCCCAATCGTTTGTGCGCATCTAAATGCTCTGTTGACTCCGCTTCATCTACCCTAGGCTTGGCCAGATTCTTCGGGGCAGTTCTTCGATTGATCTCGATTCTTGTGACGGACCAACGACACACAGACTTTACATAGATACATAGTAGCGAGATTACATCTATTCAGAAAAGATTTGAATATGATGAGAACTTTTCTCTGACGACGGACTTTTTTGCCAACTTTATAGTTCCTACTGCAGTAGTGTCGCGCTTTGTACTTATTGCTGCTTGGCCTGTTCCTCGGCAAACTGTGTGTATACGAGGTTTGAATAGTTAAGTGAAGTATAATTGTTGGGCAGGTGAGTTCAATAAAGTTTTCAGCTCTTTTCTTACCATTTATGCTTCGTACACTAAGCATGCGTCACAAAACAAAGGTTACATCAAATAAAAAAAGAGTTTTCGACCTCAGCTTCACCATCACTTAGGAATCTGGCTAACGGCTATAGTGGGCTATGATTGTATGCAAAAAGTTCGGGCTTCTTGACGGACCGTGGATTATATCCTTCCTTGAGTGTTGATCCTTTCTTAATATTTGTTTTTCCAAATGTCTGGACTTCTCCGAAACAAAATATGCTATTTTTCTCAATGCATGGCCCATTCCAGAGTATATGTCGCTTCCTGCTAGGCGACAGCTGGAAGACAGCTTCGAGGCGGAACTCAGCTGAGCTCTCATGTGTTCCGTTGGTTTGCTCTGTACCGTATCCATTTCGAACATGACCCTAACTCTGCAGGTGCTGCTCCACGTAATATAGAGTTTCATGACAAATAAGTTGCTGCCCTTGACCATTTTCTCATTCTAGCAAGTTATTTAACAGAGTTATGAAAATTTGACTTTAGCCCCATCTATACCGAAGTGCAAAATAGCTTATTTTGGGGATTTGACCACATTCCTTCAATGGCCACTAACCACTTTTTATCCGCGTTCTAGTAACTTCTTCAACGGAGCTGTAAATTCTTCTTAAAAGCC